TCAGCCAATACTTTCACCTTGCATTTTGTCTGGCCAAAAGCAAGATCCGAATGTATGGACGAACTCTAATGTTACACAATAAAACCTCGAGCTTGTAGACGAAAAGGAATGGTGCCAAGGGGCAACGTTGGCGCAGGGAAAGAGTTAGAGGAAAGGGGTCAGATACTTGATCATTGACAATTACTGGCGATGTGGAGTGGGTATACATAGCGCAAACCAATTTCAAAGAAATCAAGGTCAAAGCCTATATGCCTCAAAGTCGATAAGACAAAGGACCAGTTGATACCATCGTACGTCTTTTCAAGATCTAACAAGAAGACCACAACTTGGCTATTATCTATGTCTACAAGCTCTAATGACTCCACTGTTGTTACAATGTTATCAAAAATTGACTGAGCTTGTACGAACGCACCTGGATCTTTTCCCATTAACAGGGGAAGGTAGGTGTCCAACCTCCTTGCTAGGGTTTTGGCAAGGATTTTGTACACTGTATTCAGCAAGGCAACGAGCCTCCAGTTACGGATTTCGGCTTTGTCTTTCTTGTTGTACAGTAGGGAGATAACGCAGTCACAGTGGCAGATGTCTATAGATAGTTGACCAAAAGATAAGACTTCGTTAAAAATCTGCACCAACCTTGTTTGTAAGTTATACCAAAAGTAAATGTAATATTTCAATTTTAGGCCATTTGGGCCTGGTGCCTTCCCCTTAGCCATATGGCGTAAAGTAATAGACACTTCCTCCACTGTTACAAGTTTGTTGAGGCTAAGGAAGCCTTTGGTTGGTATTCGCATGTCAACAAAGTCTCATAACTCTGATAGAGACTGTTGGCCCGTGTGAAGCTCTTCCGTGCATCTTCTTGAAGTCATAATATCATGCTAGTAGGTTTTGGTGTATGTGCACGGTACACATTTGAAAATATGTAGTTGTTATCGGTTGTTGAGCGTCGAACGGATGTTTTAGCTCGCACCCTTTCACATTTGTTGTTTGGATGACCTGGCTAGAAGCCGTTTAAAAGTATCCTTCATCGGCCTGTCACGGTCTCTTGTCTCTACAACTTTGATTTGCAATATATCCCTCCATTGTGCCTCTTTGTCTTGTTGTAACTGCTCCCAATCGGCGAGTCTGTATGCCCTTTCGATTTCCCACCGCCTCTATTCATAGATGTTTCCCTCAACAACCCTCATCTTGGATTCAACTTATTTCACCCTTTGTTGGCACTTTGTCTCCTTTGTGTCCCTGTAGTAGGCCAAACACTGTGAGAAGATACTCAACATTCCTGATGCTAGGCGGTTGCCTGTATGATCTCACCGATCAGTTATTCCATTGAATAGTCTCCCGACTCTCTGCCAATCCAAGTAATACTTAATGACCTAGTTGGTGATGCCTTTGTTCTTCAGGTGTTAAATATGTTGATTGTTGAACCGAAAGAGGTCTCCACCCCTCTCTATGGTAGTGTTGGTCCTCAGTATCAAGATGATCGGCTTGTTCTTATTGATCTATGCACTTACCTGTCAAGAATTTATTATTTTCTAACTTGAACTTCTCAGTTTTCAAATAATTTTTCTAAAACGTTGTCAGGTTATGGTCCGAGATGGGAGAGAAGTGAGCTGCAATCTCCATGGTGTCCTGCCACGGGCTACTGTTGACCAGGATGAAGTCCAGTCTTCTTGGTGACACCTCTCTGCCTGATATTACCTGAGACGAGAACAAGGTCAAACCTGGGGCTTCGGGGTACATGAGTCGAAAGGGGTCGACCAAGTCTTCGTCAATCATGACGCTACACAGTGTTTGAACTTCCTTCCTGATCTCACGCCGGCCAAATTCTGGGTTAGCATCGTCAGGAGAGACATTCCAGTCTCTCATGATGATGAGTTGTTGTACATCTAGCATGACATCCTGAAGATTTTACAAAAAATTACAGCACTCTTCCCTTTCCGTTGGGCCGCAGACAGTCATTACTGCCCACTCTCTATGATGTGAGTAAAATTTCATCCACGCCGCCGATGACCACAATTGCAGTCCGTCCCACCATGCCGCCAATTCATTGATCTTTTGTTCAAAGAGTTTTGTTTCCTACATACAGAGAATCCGGATCCGCTTGTTGTGAACCCAGGACTTTATTCGAGGTCTCTTACTGTGCCCACTGCCCTGTGCTTTCTCCTAACCCCCGTACGTTCCGAGAAGCAATTCTAATTTTGTCCATCATTCAACACTCGGCCCTTTCGTGATGGACACGGGGGGACGCGGCTTCCCCCGCAGCGACCTTAGAGGCTAGAGGTAGTGCTACAAGCTAGTGTCATACCCTGGTTCACCGTTCACGGGGTCTGTGGATGGAAACTGGTAATGGAGTTCACGGAGTTCACAACATGGGAGTTCATGGAGTTCACGGGGAGCGGGAGCGGTTTTTGTTTTTCTTTGTTTTTGTTGGGGGGGGGGG